AGGCCCATTGGCCAAATTTCTTGATTCTGCAAGAGAAAAGCAAAATTTAGTTCTGTATAGAACATTTTAAAAATATATGTGGCCCCAACTAACCTCCCCTGGGAAGGGGGCATAATTTGAACAATTTGGATGCATATATAATTTCTAATAATCAAGGCTTAAAGGATTTTTTATCATGTTTAAAAATCTTTTAAAGGTTGAAAACTTTAAATTTCTCAATATGCACATTTTGATTGCTAGTGTTACACTCCATTGATTTGATGTTACAGATGACAAATAAATCCTTGTCAAACAAAATACTTATTGTGTTTACAAACAACTCAATTGTCTATTGATATTTTAAACCTGTTAGAAAATAAATCAGTAATAATTGGTTATAGGCTGCTAATACTACCTACCAGTAACCCTGTTAATATGACTTTGACCTTGTGTGATCCTATGTAGCCAAGGACATAAGTACAGAACACAGCAACCCCCTGAGTCATCAAGGCAAACTGGGCAAACTGCCAAAAAAATATGAGGAAAAGGCTAAATTTCAAAAATTTCAAAAAAAACTTACATAGTAATTCACTGAATATTTGAACCTGCCATAAATTAATATGGAACTGTCTGAATTTTTAAGCTTTCTTTTTCATTTGTGTCCATCTGTGAAGAGCTTAAACCATGCCTCTGCTAAATAATAAATGACTTCAAAATTACTGGCATACCTTAGAGCAGGCAAAATGCCAGATTTTACGCCTGCCATATACAGACCTGCCACGGTAACATAAAGCTGACCACTGCTACGGCTATTCCTATACTATGGAGGTAGGAGGGTTTCTTTGTTCTACAGAGAGAAAAAAAAAATTAATGCAGATAGAACTTGATTTCCAACCATTTACCATGTTTACAACAAGGGGTAGTTGTGAAACACAACTCTCATAACACTTTACTTAATATATCTATGGTCATTTACAACCACGGGTAGTCAACAATGCTGGCTATGATATTCTAAACTAAATGTGTACATGACATATATATCTAAGAACCTATGCCTTAAAGTTTTTGTGCCAAAATTAAAACAGAAATAACTTTTTGTGCCTTAATTCTACTTGTGTCTGTGTACCATTAATCATTCTGATTATAGTGCTTCTTTCTTACCTTTGAGAAAGAGTAACTATGAACATTTCTATTAAAAGGTATGAATACACAAAGCTAGTCCTTACTTTAGAGATAGAGAAACTAAAAACATATCTACCGGGTAATATAAAGAATGGATACACAATGTTAGGGCCTACTTTAAAGAATTACTTAGAACATCTCTGTTATAAAGAATGAATACACAAAGCTAGACTTACCTTAGAGTATGTGTTACTAAGAACATCTCTAATATAAGGAATGGATATGCGAAGCTCTCTCTTAAGGGTGGAGTCCACTGAACTCTAGTACACTATTAATAGAAAAAGAATTGCCTCAAGTAATTGACATAACATGGTATTTATTTATCAGTAACTGCTGTAAGCTGAGAAATCCCCCCACTGTTTTATTTTCACCCATTTTTGGCCCGACGCCCATTTGGGTGAATTCAAAGCAAGGTAAATTCAAAGAACAGGGTATTATTAGTTACATAGTCTTTTAGTGACAGGGTATGGGATGATACCTGGTTAGTAAATTTCATACCTGGCAAGGCGGAGCCTAGTCAGGTATGAAATTTACTAACCAGGTATCATCCCATACCCCGTCACTAAAAGACTATGTAACGAATTTAGCCCACCGATGAAACACTTACGTTTTATCTGTGGTTTATAAATGACTTTCTCTGCTAAATGCTTTATCGCAGTTACACTGTGCCTATTATGACGTCACGTTTGTGTTTGTGACGTTATACATCGACCGGGTATAGATTTACTGACCGGGTATGGATTTACAACTGACCGGGTATAAGTAATCAACCGCCTTCACGTGACAGACTTCAACCAATCGTAAGCCAGGATTTCACAGAAAAATCAACAGAGGTGGGGTAAAATTACATACAAAGAACAATGACTGGACAAATTTAAAACAAGGCAAATATTTCTGCATGTGTGAAAGGGCAAAACTACATGTAACATGGGGCAAAAATGAACCTAGTATGTACAGTATTTGTTATGTGACCTTTGACTGTGTCAGTTGTCATGGTTACTTGTTTACCCTGTATACAGTATTTATTACATGTTACCTGTGAGTGCTTGGTTGTTATGGTTACTTGTTTACCCTGAATACAGTATTTATTACATGTGACCTTTGACTGTGTCTGTTGCTATGGTTACTTGTTCGTTCACTGTGTCTGTTGCTATGGTTACTTGTTCGTTCACTTACTTCTCCATGGTTGTAGAAAAACGACGCTACGGTCAGAATCCCCCCATAAACGCTACCACTAAAAAAGAAACTCAACAGCATTATCGCTATCAATAATTTAATATCAATGTTCAGTTTACTAAATATGGGAGAATACTAAGATTTACTCTTCATCAAAATTATTCTGCATGTACATAAATCTAAAATAAAATTAGTTTCTTTAACCAAACTTCTAAACATTTATTTAGTTAAGTTAAACATACAGTGGACCTTCAGATATCCGGACGCCAGATATCCGGATGGTTCAGTATCCGGACGATTTTTCATCAGAACGAAATTTTTAAATGTTATTCTGTCTTGTTTAACTGGTGATTCGGATATCCGGATGCTTCAATTATCCGGACAAATTGACCGGGAACCAAAGCGCCCAGATAATTGAGGGTCCACTGTATATGCGTAAAATAAAATTAATTTTTCCTCATTAACTTTTCTGAGGACAAACAGATATGGAAACTACTTACCTCAGATACACACCAAACAAAAAGAACACACTCATCATCAAACCATTCAGAAGGAAGACAGCCTCAACATAAAAATAGGAGGGTTCCCCTAGACCTAAAAATAGATAGAAACCATTGAGAAATCAGACAGCTTAAACATAAAAATAAGAGGGTTCCCCTAGACCTAAAAATAGATAGAAACCATTGAGAAATCAGACAGCCTCAACATAAAAATAAGAGGGTTCCCCATGACCTAAAAATAGATAGAAACAATGAAAAGGGCATACAGCCTTTACATAAAAATAGGAGGGTTCCCCTAGACCTAAAAATATAAAGAAACAATGAAAAGGGCATACAGCCTCGACATAAAAATAGGAGGGTTCCCCTAGACCTAAAAATAGAAACAATGAAAAGGGCATACAGCTTCTACATAAAAATAGGAGGGTTCCCCTCGACCTACATGTAACAATAGAAACAATGACAAGGGCTTACAGCCTCTACATAAAATAGGAGGATTCTCCTAGACCTAAAAATAGATAGAAACCATTGAGAAATCAGACAGCCTCAATAAAAATAGGAGGGTTTCTCCTAGACCTAAACATATATGGAAACCATTGAGAAATCTGACACCTTCTATAAAAAATTAGAATGGTTCCCCATGACCTAAATTGCAAGACATACAACCTCTACATAAACTTTGGGGGCAAGGGGGGGATCCCGTTAAAATAGAATTAAACCATTGAGAAGGCTGAAAACTTAAACTACTGAGAAGGCAGACAACTTATACATAAAAGTTGGGGGGTTCCCCTACTTACCCTCACAGCTCTGTACGGGAGACATCCCCTCCCCCCTGTTTACTGTCCAGCACATTTTGGTCGGCTTGTTCAAGGACGTCATAACCACATCGTACCACCGGTATCCTATACCTAGGGCTACCTAAAAGAAGTGAGAAAATTAATTTTATTGACCTTAGTCAATATTCTGTCCAGTCTAACAGCTATGGTTGTTATCAGAAATTTTAATCAAGTTTAATTGCAGAAGAGTATTTTTCCATTGGTCATTCATAGACTACAAGAATTCACACCCTTGATGCATTGTAGAAGTAGATTTTATTGGGTAAAAACACAATTGTCAAACTTAATATAAAAGAAATCACTTTACAATATTGTTGCTGTTACTATATATTTTTTCTTTATTATTTATCAGGTTTAATACTATGATCATTTTTTTTAAGTTAGTTTTTTAATTAATGAAAACTTTGCATACAATTAAATTTGGTTATCTCAGACCCTGCTATTTTGAATATCAGTGTTATTTGATGAAGTGGGTCGGTACGTAGTCCCTACCTCATTTCCTTAACTACTGTACGTGTACTTCAAACAGCGGGCTTTATATTTTAAGCAGCTTTGGCGCAGACAATGATGCGCTAATTTATGAATACAGCTAAGAAATAATTTATGTATCGCTTATTCATGATTACACCAACAACTTCATATCCATTGATTGCGCTAAATTTCAAATATGCCAAATTATGTACTTGTACAGTATTTTACATACTTATCTTAGGGTATCATGCTATCTTGTGAGATACATATTTGAACGCTATTGACCAAATAAGTTAGCCAATGAAATGGAGAATGAGCAATAATATCAAACGATAGTAATAAATTCTACATAATTTGGAAACAAAAGCTAAGACAAGCTTTTACTTGGATTATTCAATGGTATAGAAATTTTCCTTGGGTTTTAAATTGGCATATTTTTCAGATAAATTAGGTTCAGGTTAAATAAAACAATGATTTTAATTGGCTCATGCAAACTTTTATGAGGCTAATTAAAAGTGTGCATTTCATAACCCAGGGTTCCACACTAACATTTTTAGGCTTTGGTCCGGCCGGACTAGTGCTTCTTTACTTTTACTAGTCCGCGGGCAATTTTATTAGTCCGTCAAAAATAAAAATAATTAAATAGAATTAATGTTGCAATGTACTTTTATAATTTTTCCAAATAAACAAAGCATTTACATGAAATGTTTATACCAAGAATTCGTTGAAACCGTGCAATCAGGAACTACGATCGTATTCCCGATCTCATTCGTTTTTCTCTATATACATGATTACATCATCTAAACATCCGACATCTTTCTTTATGTGTACAGTAATACTAAATCATGATCGCTAAAATGTTTAATTTCATTCCAACGAGTCCTTAAATTAAGCGCCGAATCGACTCAGAATTACCAAACTTCCCGCTAAGAAGCTACAAAGTTAAAAATAATTACGGGGTTTTCCAGTGAAAGTTGTCGAAAATTTGAACATCGGTAAATTCTTTTTTTCCCCCAGAAAACTTTATTAGTCCGTTCGGACTAATTAGCTACAATTTTGATTAGTCCGAATGAAAATGTGTTAGTCTGAGACTAACGGACTAACGTTAATGTCGAACCCTGATAACCCCTCATACCTAATCAATTAGGTCAAGTGTTTAATTAGAGTGAAATGAATTAGAATCCCTTGACATGGAAAGATGATCATAAAACAGATTCTTTGATTTGTTAAAGAGTTCTAATACTGCACGTATAAAAACAGACTCTGTGATTGGTTCAGATACACATTTTTTTTTATCATGTTGACTGGCTCAGGTACACATTTTGTGATTTGTTCAGATGCACACTCTGTGATTGGTTATTAAGATACTTGTCCTGTGATTGGTAAAGATACACATTCTGTGATTGGTTAAGATACATGTTTTGTGATTGCTTAAGATACACATTCTTTGATTGGTTAAGATACATGTTTTATGATTGTTCAGATACATGACCTGTGATTGGTTCAGATACATGTTTTATGATTTGTTAAGGTACATGCTCTGTGATAGGTTAAGATACATATCCTGTGATTGGTTAAGATACATGTTTTGTGACTTGTTAAGGTACATGTTCTGTGATTGGCTATTGGCTAAGTCAAATGTTCTGTGATTGGCTACTGGTTAAGTCAACTGTTTTCTGATTGGTCACAATTTTCAATGATTCCTCACCTCAGGATAAAGGTTGAACCTCTTTAGGACGTTGATAGTATCAGGATATTCTGTGATGTTGTCGTACATGATTTCATTCAATCCATCCAGGAAGGAGGGAGCTTCAATGATGGTTTTGAAGTAGGAAAAATAAAGACCCTACAAAGAATTTTAGAAAGGAGATTGAATTAATTGTGTTTCAGTAGTCACATATTTCTGCATAGTTTACATTAAAAAAAATACTTTTTACTCCCTAAAACATGACCAGAAGGGTTATCATGACACATAAAAAATATGATAACAATTTTTTTTTTTAAATCAATTTCCAAATTGTTGCCTTGATGTAACCAGTTTATTAATTTACATTCCAACTTTTTAGGAAAAAATCATTGCTTTAATTTCAAAGTGGCAGTGAGTGGAATCAGTATTTCAATGTCAACAATCTATTAAATTCTATGAACAGTCTATCTAATTCTTAATAAAACCGGAAGTCCAAATGAAAAATGTGGCTTCTGACATTGGTATATTTATTTCAGCTTGGCTTTGTTAAAAAAAGCTAATGATGGTAATAAAAAGGTGAACAAAGCTCAAAGCATTAATAAACCAGTCATCAAAATGTTCAAACCACTTTAATTTCAGATATACTCTTTTTTGATAGATGTGTTCTGCAAAATACAAATGGGAGAATCAGTAAATTGTTTAAATAAAAAAAGTTCAATTACATTTTACTTTCTGTTTCCTTCTCAAAATGTGAAAGTCAAATTATAGAAATAAGAATTGCAGCTGGTAGCAAACTCAGAATATAATTTGACCCTCAAAAATTCTCTTTCACTCCCAAAAATTTACTTCAAAGGGTCAAAATGACCCTTGGTTTTCAAAGTTAGCGGAAAAACTGATTATGAAAAAAACTAATATGTATATATATATATATCTGTCCTTGAATTTATATTGTTTCCAGTTAAACTGCTAGATATTTGTTTGAAAGAATGTTATCAGCAGTTGTATATACTGTAAATTCCTTATCATACAAGAGTAATTAATTATTGCCTAATTTTGCAAGAAGCATCACTAGCAAAAAAAAATTACTCGCTTTTATATTTATGAGGCTAAATCCATGTAAATTATCTTGATGAACAGTCTTTTTGCAAATTACTATTTTCACAATTTGACGTTAAAGAGCCATCTCGCAATAATAATTACTTGAATCAGGAATCTACAGTACTGGAGAACTGCCATTGTGTCAGACATGTAGTTGTGAGTCTGTACACACACAATTCATTACAGACCTACCATCTCAGTCCTGAATGACAATTCCCTCTCCAGGTTTGACAGATGGGAGAAATGTTTATCTCTTTCAAACATTCCATATACATGGTTCC